ATAATCCCTGGTGTCCATAAAATTGTATTTAAATGTCTTAGGAAAAGATGAACATATCAATGAAAAAATTACAGTTTACAAAATAAGAACCACAAATTACCAATAAAAATATGAAAGGAAAAATGTCCAGCTTCATAGGAACCAATTAAAAATAAATAGAAAGAAGATATTTTCTTTCTGTCAAATTGGCCAATTTTAAAAATGATAATCCCTGGTGTCCATAAAATTGTATTTAAATTATTAGTTTTTCACTTGGCTGATAGGAGTGTAATTGGTTCAGAGTTTTTGAAGACCAGTTAAGTAGTGTATATCAAAAAATTTAAACGTGTTTGTATACTTTGAATCAATTTCCGAATTTAGGCAAGCTATGCTAAGAAAATAATATAAAATATGAACACAGATTTATGCCTAAAATATTTATCCTAGCGTTTTCTTATAATTATGAACATATGGCAACAACTTAAACATCCCATCATTTAAAAATTATTAATATATTATGATATATGTCAGTATGCAACAAATTAAAATCATACGTAAAAACAATATTGAACAAAATGGGAAATGCTTAAGATATTATATTAAGATAAAATGTTTGTGCAGAATAATGGGAATAAACATGCCTAGAAGGAAAGAAATGCAGAATATTAACTTTGTAAAATTTCTGCAATGAACTGGTGTTACTTGTACAATGTGAAAAAAATATTTAGTTTAAGGTAGGGTTTGACAATGTTAGCCACATAACTAACAAATATTTTGTTACAAATGCTAAAAGTAAATTCAAAATAGTCAAAATATTTTCAAAGGAGAACAATCAACTTGAAAAATTAGCCTGTCATGCAATACTTTTGGTTAAAGATGTTTATTATATTCAAAAATGAATTTTGTTCACTGAGTTTGTGTTATTAATTTTAAATTCCCCGTGAAATTTAATTAATGTTAAATGCTAAATAAATGTTTGTTCGGGCATCAAGTTTTAACAAAATTTAGTAATTAAAATATGAAACTAGGATGATGAGGGTACATGAATGTTAAGGTAAGTTTATGCTCTTTCTGTTGTATGTCGTGGAAGGTACATCAAATACGTTTGTTTAGGTTGAAGTCTAAGTTACCTTCCAATTAATTTCTACCTTTTGAAAATGTGTATATAATAATGGTAGCCAAATTAAGCCAAATTTTTTTTTTTTTTTTGAGACAGAGTCTCGCTGTGTTGCCCGGGCTAGAGTGCCATGGTGTCATCCTAGCTCACAGCAACCTCAACCTCCTGGG